AACGAGCACCACATTTTTTAGCATCTAAGTCTGCACAATCTGGAACTGAGGGAAGTATGCTTTTGGTCAATGCTATTTGCTCTCCTATGCATGCTCTGGGTTCTTATGGGTTCATGTCTGACATCTGGGAGGATTTCTTCCCACCTTCACCTATTTGACTTCCACTGGCATCTCAACCTAGTGTTTTAAAAATGAAAGGACTCGACTGGGCGCAGTGGCTCACGCCTGTAATCCTAGCACTTTGGGAGGCTGAGGTGGGCGGATCACCTGAGGTCTGGAATTTGAGACCAGCCTGACCAACATGGAGAAACCTTGTCTCTACTAAAAATACAAAATTAGCCAGGTGTGGTGGCACATGCCTGTAATCACATCTACTCTGGAGGCTGAGGCAGGAGAATGGCTTGAACCCGGGAGGTGGAGGTTGCTGTGAGCCGAGATTGCGCCATTGCACTCCTGCCTTGGCAATAAGAGTAAAACTCCATCTCAAAAACAAAAAAAAAAAAATGAAAGGACTACCTTTGAAAGTCACCAAAGGCAGAGAAAAATCAGGATATCATTACTTAGGATAGGTGTGATGGGCTAACAGTTCTCCAATTTTATAACATTTGAATAGATTCATCTTTTGGGACATGCTTCATCCAACAGCTTACTAAGACATGTTCAATGTGTGCATACTTAGCCAACCAAAAAGTTCCTCCTTTCCAATCAGTGAATGTATCTAATCATAATAATACTTAAAGAAAACCACTCAGTTGGAATTTTAAATTGGGTCAACACCTATAAAACTGATCACAACCAAGACTATCCAGCAATTATTTTATGTCCATTTGAGACAATATAAATTTAAATTATTTTGATACTTCCTTCCTAGATGTAGTTTTAGCAATTATTTATTTCTGTCTAATATATCTCCCTCTTTTTTCTCATAATAAAACACTTCCTTTGGAAACTGCTTCTTTCTCATTCCAGTGCTTGCCAGTAGGTGGACTGACTCAAGCCCTCAGCTTCAGGGCTCCCATAAATAGGGCTGATTCTAAAAGAATCAGGAGCCATAGAGAAATAGGGTGTCTGCTTCATTAGGATATTTAGCATTAAGGATCACAGAGCTTAGAGCTGTCAGAGGCCACCTGTGCTCCCACAAGGAATATATACATGGGAATGGAGGCAATATGGAGAGAAGTGGAATCAAGAAATACAGGGAAAAATTGATTGTTTATGAAATTGGTTCAATCCCTGAATCCAACAAATTGGGTTTTCAGGGAGCAGACCTAAATAGAGTTTGGAATAAAAGCTTTTAATCAATGATCAAAACCCATGAAAGGAAAAAAACTAGGATTCAACTGGGAAGAGAAAGAAACTGAACTGTGATGTGGTCCAACAAAGACATGGTCATCCTGACAGGAGCTGTGGATTCAATCAGAAATGACCAATGTTGGTCAGAAATGGCTGACCCTTCATACCCCAGCCTCGCTCAGTCACTAGATGTGGCTTCCTCAAGAGTGGTGTGACTATGGGCAAGTTCTCTCTGCAGCTGGGGCAGACCAGGAAGGAGTGAGAACTGGTGGCCATCCACTAACCCCACACCCCATGGCGAGACAGCATGTCCTTCTCGATGGCATATGTCTTTGTAAAACTACACAGCACTACTCGAAGCCATTTGATCATCCCAGTTATGTGAGCCTGCAAACTCCCAATTTTTTGTCAAGACAGTTTGACTTCAGTACTTTGTTTGCAATCAAGAAGCTCTATGCTTTCCTTCAAAGTTAAAGTTCTTCTGAAACGTCAAGATTCCAGCAATTATGAACACCCTTGAAATAAATTGGAGAATACAATTTAAACCCACAGCAGATCACGTGATGGCTGGCAATCCTATTTGTTAATCAAGTTCCAAGTCTGCAGTCTCCAGATGGTTCACAAATTTCAAGTGGCCAGATCCTGAAGATGGGAGATATCTGTTTTATTGGGCTGAGGGTTTGTGATCAAAACTGACAACTCACTGGGTGGAAAAGACTGTAATTTGTATAGCACAGAACAAATAAATTCCAGCATGTTTTCCTTTGAATAAGTTTCACTATAATGACAAGTAGACTTCTCAGTTTTGCTTCTGGTCAGAAAGATCCACTCTAACTTGTTTATCTCCCAGTAATTGTCATCCTCTCAATAACAAAATGTGTGTTTCTCTGAGAACAGTGATTTATTCATTAATAATGCCCTCTTTGTTCCTGCAAGTGACCAAGTTTGCAAGAGAGAGCACGATAGGAAAATCAAACCAGTACTCTAGGCTCATACTGGAGAGATAATCAAATTATTTTCATATGTGCTGAAGTTCATTTTTATTCTGGGTCACTATCTTGGTAAGGTTCTGAATTTCTAGTAATATTTCAATTTATACCAATATAGCATAAACTTTGCACTTCCAATGCCCCAATGTAAATGATGTGAATATACACACATATCATTTATTTATATATATGTATATATATATAAATACATATATAAAGAGGCTTATTGGCACATATTAACAAGTTTGTGTGTATGTGAGAGAGACAGAGAGAGAGAGAGAGAGAGAGAAAGAGAGGCAGACAAACAGCAAAGATCCAATTTGACATGGCATAAAACTAAAAAGCAAATGATAATGGTGTAATGACAAAGCATTATTTAGCACCATTAGGAAACTGAAGCGAATGTGATCTCTCTTGTCTTTAAAACCCCAAAAGTCAATGAGTCAATTGTTTAGAAACTTCTCTGAATGGATTATTTTTTGTAGAGTTCCTCATATTCCAACTCAGCTGACAGAATCTAATGCCCAGGTTATCAAGTTTCTCAGAGTAATTTACAGATGCAATAACAGTACATGCGCTGCAGGCCTTGCCCTGAACCTTAATAAATATGAAAAGCAGAAACAGAGCCTGACTTACCTCCAGAGTGCGGTGGGGGGCCGCAGAGCAGCACAACTCCCTGGCCTTCACGCACAGACACTGTACTCCTCATTTTGGTTTTAAAATTTTCAAGATCTGATTTGAAAACAAAACAAAACTGAATTTCAGAGAGGCCAATTAAATGACAAATTTTGCACCAAGACCTTCCTTTCTCTTAGAAAACAATTTTATTTTTTGCTTCTTTTCTTTAAAAATTTTTATTTTTATTTACTTAGAATTTCACCCTTTATTTTAGATTCAGGAGGTACAGGTACAGGTTTGTTATGTGGTTATATTGTGTAATGCTGAGGTTTGGGGTATGATTGATCTTATTACCCAGGTAGTGAGTACGGAACCCAGTATGTAGTTTTCTAATCCTTGCCCCTCTCCCTTCCTCCCCACTCTAGTCGTCCCCAGGGTCCACTGTTGCCATCTTTACGGTCATAAGTACCTAATATTTATCTTCCACTTATAAGTAAGAACATACAGTATTTGGGTTTCTGTTCCTGCATGGAAAACAATTTTAAAATCTCTTTCCAAGAACCTAGAGAGAAAATTATTTGCTTTGAGGTAGAAAAGCTGATTTCTTTATTAAAACTTCTAGAAATTCAGCAATACAATAGAAATATATACCCACTGATCCCATGTTGCTGAAATAGTGTCAAAAATGGCATAAACTATCCAAAGGCAAAGTGTATATCAGAATGAACCAACCAGATAATATAATTCAAAAAAGGAAATGAAATATCCTAAATCAAAAATATACATAAATATGACTTTCACATTCACCAGTGATTCACCATGTCATGAATACTTTCAGCTTTAACTTGTAAAAATGACCAACTATTCATGAATTTCCCTCCTAAAATATTCTATCATAAATAGCCTAAAGAGATTTTATTCTACCTATAATTATTTTTATTTACAAAAATATGTGAAAATATTCAGTTTCTGAGTACAAGTCCTATTTTTCCCATATTGTGAAGGGCTCTGTAGAAGGTATATTGTCACTGGAAATTACCAAGTACGTAGAATTCAAAGGATAACAGTAATTCAAATCAGCATATTCCCTTTTATTTATAGCTGCTAAAAATAATTATAAGTATCCAAAGAATTTTTCAAGTGTTTAAAAAAGTTAAAAAAATGGCAATCAAGGGCAAATACTATTTTGATTACCAGCGGTTATTTTTAGAGAACATTTAATTTCTTCCAATGACAATCCAGTACAGCAAATACTGATTCATTCTTTCCAACTTAAATTACAGGAGAGAGAAAATTCTGTTGACTTTGTTTTCAAAAATGCTTTAGTCTATAGGGAAAGAGGAAGAAAGATCTGTTTCTCTAAACTCTGACTTACAAAAAAAAATGCTTGTGAATTACACAGTTAATATACTCGATGGTGTCACTTTCTGTATCAGAACAATTGCACTGTCAATTTCTGAAAGAATATACTGATTTCACGGCTCTTAAGGGCTTATATAAATTGCCTAAGTGGTGTCTATACAGAGTGAAACAGTAGATGTATTTTAGAATACAACTTGGAGAGTTTCAACTTTTCTTTGAAAACTATAAAAAGCAAAATAATTACCTTCAAATTGATAAAACCAGAACCTGTAGACATTTAAGGATATTCTAAGGACTATATAGCAGTATATCAGAGAGAAATAAGAGGGCCTATGTGCCTCATATTATTGTTACTGAAAAGTAGTATTAAATTGCGAAGTTTTAAATATGGAGTAAAGTGATTCAGCAAAACTCTCTTGTGTGTGCCCATAAAGGAGAAAAAAACAGTTGATGGACTTATTTTAACCACAGGCTATCCAGCAGAAATTATACAGTAACATAGTATTGTAAAATCTGTAACTAAAATGCAGCATTCTCAAAACATTGAGCCTCTGGAATGTAACTAACTGAGTTAGAACTGCAAAACTGGACCATCCAAATGTTTCCCAATGGCTAAATGGGGCAGTACATCATATCAGAATGTAGCTCATACATGGAATTTCCAAAGATTATTTTTTGATGATCAAGCATGTATCATCATTGCTGACTTCCTGTCCAATTCCTAGTTATCTTCTGCCATATATTATTTCACGGTGTGGAAGTTTTCTATCACTGATTTTAGCTAGAATATGCAAAAAAGTATAGAATAGTTCTATGGAAACCAGTAATGTCTCCTCCAAAGGTAAAATCTCTTTTGCCTAAGCACAAATATAGCTGGCACAGATCTGCCCATTGGTCTAGATACATGCATTGATACTCTTTCTGCAGTGCATGAGTGCAAGGAATATTGTTCTGGATATCTGATATGGCCAGTTCATAGACATAACATCAGGAAACAAAGAAAAATAACTTAATTGTAATGGCACATTTTAAATGGCACTTTGCTGAAAAGGGGGTAAGTATACAGAGGACTGCATAGTTAATCTGCAGGTGTAACCAAGGCTTTAACAAGCAGAACCCGGCCAAGTAGACAGACAGTAGCAGTAGCAGTCAGAGGGCCAGGGTGGGCATTTTTCTGAGGCAGATGGAGCAACATAGATGTACAAGAACATATATGTTACAGTCAAGGAATAGCAAAACTTTTCTCCTTTTTTGCAACACTAGGAACTATGGGAAAACAGTAGTGTCAATGTCTAATAAGTTTCAGATCATTGAAATATCTAGTGCAAGATTACAAGTGTCACCCAAATGTAAGTCAAGCTATATATAGCTCATTTTTTTGAACTTTAAAAACAAACTAAGATGATACAGAACACCTACAAGTAACTACAGCTAACATCATATTTAATGGTGAAAAACCGAGTGCTTTCCCCTCCAGCATCAGAAATACAAGGGAGTTAAGCAGATCACAGGTTACAATTTGTACATACTAACAATAAACATGTAAAAACTGAAATTAAAAACTCAAAACCACTCACAATTGTTCCAAATAAAATAAAATACTCAGGTAATTTACACATAACAAAACATGCAAAAGATCTGTATACTGAAAATTACAAAATGCTAATGAAAAAGAAAAAAATGGAGAGGCTTAAATAAATGCAGACACATACTATGTACATGGATTGTCAGATTCAACATAATTGCCGTTCTTCCCAAATTAATACACTGTTACATGCTGCAAAACAACATTTCGGTCAATGGTGGACCACATATATGGCCAGATCATATTTACAACAATGGCATCATACCATCATGGCATAGTAGTGAAATATATTACTCCTGTATTTGTGGTGATGGTGTAAAAAACCTACTATGCTTCCAGTCACATAAAAGTTTTGCATATACAATTATGTATACCATATAATACTTGAGAATGATACCAAACAATTGTTAGGGGTTTATGTATTTACTATGCTATAATTTTTTTGTTATTTTAGAATATATTACTTCTACAAATTAAAAAAAAAAGAGGTTAACCATAAAACAGCCTGAGGTAGGTCCTTCAGGAGTTTTTTGCAAGGAGGCATTGTCATTATATGAGATGACAGCTCCATGCATGTTATCGCCCCTGAAGATCTTCCAGTGCGATAAGCTGTGGAGGTGGAAAACAGTGATATTGATGATCCTGACCCTGTGAAGGCCTAGGTTAACATGTGTGTTTTTAAATGTTTTTGGCAAAAACATTTAAAAAGAGAACAAAATTAAAAAGCTTATAGAATAAGTGTATAAGAAAACAGTTTAGTAAAGCTTTACAATGTGTGTTTTAAGCTAAGTGTTATTATGGGTCAAAATTTATAAAACATTAAAAAGTTTATAAATACAAAAGTTACAGTAAGCCAAGAGTAATTTATTACTGAAACATATTTTTATAAATTCAGTGTAGCCTAAGTGTACAGTGTTTATGAAGTCTACAGTAATGTACAGTAATGTCCTAGGCCTTCACATTCACTCACCACTCACTCACCAATTCACCCACAACAGCCTCCAGTTCTGCAAGCTCCATTCATGGTAAGTGTTCAGTATAGATATACCATTTCCTGTCTTTTATATTGTACTGTACCTTTTCTATGCTCAGATATGTTCAGAAACACAAATATTCACCACTATGTCACAGCTGCCTACAGTATTAAGTAAAGTGATCTGCTGTACAGGTTTGTAGCCTAGCAGCAACAGTCTATACTATACAGCCTAGGTATGTAGTAGGTTATGCCATCTGAGTATAGTAAGTACATACTATGATGTTTGATGAAATCACCTAATGATGCATTTCTCAGAACATATCCCTGTCATTAAGTGACACGAGTGTATAAGTTTAATATAATTCTGATCAAAATACCAGCATGGTTTTGGGTTTGTTCTTTCTCTTTTGTAGATAAAGACAAGCTTATTCTAAATTTTATATGCAAAGACACAGGACTTAGAATGCCTAAAACAATCTAGACTAAAAACAAAGCAGGAAGAATCACTCTACCTAATATTGAGGCTTATAATATAGCTACAATGATCAAGATCATGCGGTAGTGGCACAGGGAGA